ATTCTAAGCAACATATGGCAATCTGCGGTCTTTCCTTACACTTAGGTAGCACGGAAAGCCGTAAAACTCTTGAACAAAAGCTCATCTTTCAAACCTGCAGTCTAAATCCCACAGGGATCAACGAACGCTTTTCATTCCACTAATCTATTCGTGTTTTTCTCGTTGCCATGTTCCCACTAATAACATAGCTCCATTTTCTGCCTTTAAAAGCACATACAACCCACAACTCCTCTATTCGCTCCGATGAAGGGCTAACGCTCGAAACGTCAGCTTTTGTCATTGTTACGGTGGCCAATTTACCATTTCAGCTTTGTTGATATATCCAAATTATATCGAGAAATATGATGTGAAACAACGAAATAACCCTCGTGATTAGTACTAGTACAGGCCTATATAGGATAGGATTGGCCTTTCCATCTCTTTGGTTACCAATCCTGTGTATGGTAGATCTAGAAACAGAGATTGGTGGAAAACTTTCAAGGAAAATGCCAATAAAGAAAAAATCCTTTGACTACTTTCTTTTATTTATGAGGAGTCACGTGAAGGGAGAATACCAAAGCTAAGATACACCAGTGGTGTCACCCTACAATGTTAAGAAAAGAAACAACGAGATAACGTGGCTAAAATAAAGGGAGCCATTCACAACATATAAACCGGCACTCAATAAACCAAATATTGAGTACCGCGACTGGTAGATTTTCTGGTTTAATGATTGACGTGTAATTAGTTGTTGTCTGCACTAACCTTGTCAAAACGCCTCAAGAAGTCTTCGTTTCAGCAAAAATGTGTTCCTTTGAGTTTACATAATAACCCGGAAAGTAAACTATGAATGTTTATGATACGCAGTCATTTTGTCTTCGACAGAATCCCTGCAGCAGCAGTCCCTGTTTCAACAATGGCACATGTCAAGCTGGATACACTCATAAAGGATTTCGTTGTAAATGTCCTCTAGGATTCACTGGTATATACTGCAAGAAAGGTAATCAAATATAAAACTGTAAAGTGGAATCCATACCGAATGATAATCAAAGAGTTTTCAGGGGTATGAAAATATCTTTGTTTTTTGTTTTTTCTTTTAATGTAGCGTGCAGCTTTGACTTTGAAGATGGAATCGGTGGGTGGAAAATGACAGGAACAGCTTTCATTTACCAGCCAACATTTGGTGACAATCCAGCCGCGCGCGGTAGAGAAAGCGCCCAGCTGCAAGGGTACTGGTGGGTGGGGGGAGCTGAGAAACGGCCCAAAGAGAACGATCCTCCAGGATGGCAGCATCCAGATACAGCCGACGTACCCAACGGAACTCTCACCTCACCTTGCTTTCGTATCGTCGGCAAGAATATTTCGTTTCTCATTGGTGGGGGATGTGACTTAAGCAAAGTTCGTGCAGAGCTTATTGTCGACAACCAGGTGAGATTATACAGCACTTCGACCATTATGTTTCCTGTAATTCTTGTGAAACAGCCTAAGTAGATTGATCAGAGTATCAGAGATTTGTTTTTTCAAAATTGCGACACCATTTTGAGCTTTGTGATGTCCATAAATTTTGCTTATTTTGAGCTTCCTCGATGGAAAGTTTGCGATATAACCAACTAAGCGTCTGACACAGTAAAATTTATTTTATTTGTCTTTGGCTTACCCTCGCTCGAAACGACAGATTTTTTTTCCTAAGTTCAAAGCATTGCAAGTCAATTAATGTATGATATAGTCATGTTAGATATGTCAGCGATCGTCGAAACAAAGGTTTAAAAGCTTTTTGTGTTTGTTGTTACGTTAAGGTCGTCAGAAAAGAGACAGGAGACTGTTCTGAGACAATGTACCCCAAGAGCTGGGAAGTAGAGGAGTTTATTGGTCAATACGCCAAAGTCAGACTCGTTGACGAAACGGATTGTTGTTGGGGACACATCAACTTTGATGACCTTAAAGGAGATATCATTTGTCCTCACGATTTAGACGAGAAAAACTGAAGAGACAGCGAATTTTGAAAGTAGCTTACCACCTCGTCAGGAGTTTTGCAAATAATCACCTTAAAAGTATGATTAAACAGCTTTTGACGTAGTACAAATCACCCTGTTTTTGTCAACAGTAGCAAAACATTTTGAAACAATTTGATGTATGTGTCTGTGAAGGCTCTTAACATATAATCCAATGGTTATATCGGTTTACTGCGACAGTAAGGAGTATTGCTTTAGATGCTAGCCATCGCCTATTAAAGTGTTGTTTTTTGGTTGAAACGTCTGTTGAAGGCATTAAAGGTCACACGTTATTTACTTTGCAAGATCCATATTTGGAAAAGCTTCAAGAAGATTCTGTTTAGGATCAGATCGGTTGAATTAATTTCATTTGACGGCTGACGGTTAATTTTTTGAAATATTGTTTATAAAACGAAATAAACGCGCGGATTTGGCTGCAATTTTTCATAACAAACTACAGTTTTTCCCATAAGCTAATAATCAGGTTAATCCTATAATTTGTGCGTTAAAAATTAGGTGTCTGGTGTTCAACTGTGTGTCTTATTAGCGTAATTACACCATCTTTGCTACCGCTGGACGTATTAATAGCCTGCTTCACCAAGTGGTGTACTTGTGCGAGGAGTCGCATAAGGATCTCAAAGTCCTTGCTTATCACAGATCAAATCTTATCGATGCTTTTATCGGTCTCCGCGATCTTGTTATGGAACTCTTTCATTCTCGTACACAGTTGGCGAAAGAACGCCTGCTTTGTCTCTCGTAGTCTTGCTTCGAACGGTTCTCTGCCACCTTGGTGTGTAATCTTTTACCCATTCTTTCCGATTTCCGCTTGTTTTGGAATATTCCTTGCTGTCAAAGAGGTCANACTTGCTGAAAGGTGTCCCAGCTGTCTCAAATGTGAATATACTGGTTTTAATAATTTAGTAAACTTCCTGGGGCAAAATGCCAATCCATTTGGAAAGCAAACATATTTATACAGTTTTCCACGCCACTGAAACTTCAGGTATTTTTGGTCTGCAGTGGCAATAGGCACAGAATAATATGCATCCTTTAAATCTATGGATGCCATAAAGCACCCAGGTTTTACCATTTGTAAAACAGTATTAAGTGAGTCCATTTTAAAATGGTGGTATTGTACATGAATGTTTAAACGCTTGAGATTTAAAATTACTCTGAAAGAACCATCCTTTTTGGCCCTAGTGAAAATAGGAGAGATATATTCCCCTTTTTCATGGCTACTTGGGGTAATAACACCCTTAGCAAGGAGTTCAGCTATTTCAGTATCAATGACATGTTGTTTGTCTAAATCAAGGATTTTCTTCTCTTTGGGGACTACTCTTTGATATGGAGTTCTGGTAAACTCGATTGGCTGGCCTAGTATCATTTGCAATATCTCAGGGTCTGAGGTTAAGGCCTGCCACTGATAATAATATTCTCCCAGCCCCCCTGCTTTAAAGCAGTGCGCCTTGTGCTCAAGGAACTGTAACATATTTACCTTGTTTGTTGGGATATCAGAGCATTTCACTGGCTGGATTTCTTCTCGGTTGCCTGTGGTTTGTAGGAATTGTGGTTGTGTGGCCGGTAAGACCGGCCCCTCTTCCCTAAAAAAGGCTTTCCATTTGAGTGAGAAGATTTGCCCTTCCAGCCATCGCTATGGTTGCGATAATATGGCTTTGCAGTAGTCGCATGGCCAATTTTGTTAGTTGCTTTGATATTGTTAAGCTGAGATTGCAGCTCATCTCCAAACAATAAACTCGTGATGGGTACTTGAGAGCCACACAACGAGGAATATTCGTTATTTAAGTTTGGTTTGATGGCGTCGCGTCGACGGTATGATAGGTCAATGTTTACATGGCCTAACAATGCCAGAGCGTCAGCATTATGCGTGATTAATTTCCCCAATTTCTCAGTGAGAGCCGACGCTGAAGTCTTCTCAGGATCTGCACGGATAGCCAACAGTGTGTCAGTCGATTTAGCGATTGCACTACCGACTTTGACAAGTACTTTCTGCATGTTGGCAAGGCGTAAATCTGCGCTCCTGGTCACGTGCTTCAGCTTATTCCAGATCTCGGGGTTGACCTTTGGCACAGTTAATTTCTCGCAATTATCGGGTCGATTGTATTTCGCCAATTTTTCTTTTAATTTGGCTTCCTCTAACTTAGAACCCCATCGCTTATTGACAATATCCGCCAATTTCTGAGCGACTTTTGGGTCAGTTTGCTCATCCGACTCAAAGTCTTGAGCAATTTCATTGAGCAATGCGTCAGAGCTGCCCAGTTTTGGCGGGTCGCCATTGGGCGGGAAATTAAGTTCCTCAGAATCTGACTTCTCAGGGTCTGAATCTCCACTATCACTCATGGTATTAGTTGTAGGAGATGTTCTCCTCTTTTTTGATGGTGTAGCATGGTCTTCTGGTGCGCCAGCTAACCGTTTCATTGTGTTTTCCATGGACGACATGGTAGAACTCATTTGGGTCATGGCCGACAATACATCAGCAAGCACTTTGTCTGTACCCCGATGCGAAGAATTCGCTGTCTCGTTTTCTTCAGAAAGTAAATTTTCTTCTTCTACCGGTGAAAGGGGGTCCCTTCCACTCATATTTTCGGCAGTCATATGGTTTTCTCAGTGTCGTGCAAACACCGTCCGACCTTCCCAAAAGGATCGTACACAACTGATCTTCCCAGGCTCGTGCGCCTTCTCACGTGACTCCGTAGCGACCAATGACCAATGACGAAACAGAATCGACTCACAGCCCCTGGGTCTCCGAGGATGGGGACTCCTTTGAGTTCCAAAGTCCATGGCGTACTGAAGTACACTAAATGTCTAATATAGAGATTTAGCCAAGCCTAAAAGCGGAGCTCCCAATAAGTGAAAATCTTGCAATAAAATTTCTTGACATATATTAACAATTTTTAGCCAAAAATTCATTCAGTATAGATTAAACCCATTGACACGTGTAACACGTGCCTGTGAAAAGTCAAAATTTTGGAGAAACCAAGAAAGAAAACACAATGCACAGTAAATTTTTAAGAATCATCTTTCCAAAAAACAAGCTCCAGCGAAAGAAGACTAATTAAAGAAGTTATTTCCGACGAAAAAAGCGATAGGTGCATATTACGTTGTAACTCAAAAATCAAGATAAAAGATAAAAATCGCTAAATATTTTCGTATGTGTGCAAATAGGCATGTGGATCATATTTAGGAATTTGTCCGTGAGTGAAGAGATCTCAAGTTCCATGGAAGCAAGACAGTTTTTGATTTGCTTTTATAAGCGAAAAACGTACGAATTTCTTACGAGTACAAAGCCCACGGGGTAAAATTCATCATGTTTCCTTGTCTTCAATTGTTTACTTTCCTTCAAGGCCAGAAATTGCGCAGCGTTATGTTGAAAATTCTGAAAAAAACTTCAATGTGACGCAAAATCTTCTATTAAACAATACTTTTTGAACACATTGTTACTCGAACATAACATTTACCGGGTCACCGAATCGTCAAATTGTCGCTAGGCCCTGCTTGAAGTCCGAAAGTTCGTTTTCACTTTACGGCCATATAATTCGCATCGCCTTAGAGAATCGTAGTGTCGTTGACTCGAGAGCTTATTCTATCACCTTTAAGACCTTAATATCCATTCTTTTCCAAGCAGAATATTCTATAGCATTGTCACTTTACATTCTGAGTTCCACAAGGTCTAACTCGATCGCAAATGAACGAAAAATCCGACTTGAGAATTTTGAGGGTCGGCCGCGCGGACGGCATATTTTCAAATTTGATCATATAGTACTTTCGTAATAGCATACATGACTGAGGGCACGTACGTACGTATGTACGTACGCTCGGTCAGTCATGTGACAACCGAACGAAAAGAGGTTGACCATATTCCATGGGTATGGGGCTCTGCCCCATGCGCGCGAAGCGCGCGTGGGAGCCCCGCTAATATTTAAAAATTCTGGATTTATGGTGTTGGTGTTTTCTATAAGACGATTAATGCCTCTATGAAGAACTGAACAGACTGTTGCGTCTTTTGTGACACTATGCCCTGAGGAAAAAATTGTGTTTGCCGTTTCTTTTCAGATTGTAGTCTTCGTTGGAAACTGTTGATTTGAGATGAGTCTTTTTTTTACTTACATTTTCCCCTTTTGCCTTGGTGTGACTTCCTGGGCAACAGACCCCTTGTAGGCTATTCCGAAGCTGTCAGACTTAGGTGCTTCAGTAACTGCAGTTGCACCCAACAGCTCAGTGATGAGCTTCACGTTCCCTGTTGCCGCATCTCTTACGAATATCGTTTCCCCAACAATACAAATTCCATGTGGTTGAACAAAAGCGGAACTTTTTGCAGTCCAATATTCATTTCGTCTTTGACCACTCCCCACTTGAATATTACTCACCTTGTCGACTGAGTTAAATACTTTGACTTGCTAAGCTTCAGAATCTGTAAAGGCCAAAGAGTTTTTAAAGGGTGTAAATCGTTTGATCTCTGAGCAAGAATCGGTCTCGTTCTTTAACACATATCAACTGGTCCACCTTCTAGATCGATCTAGATTAAAGGAATACAAACCACTAACAGTACTTGGATACTTTGCAGAAACGAAATAAACTAACCTGCCATAAGCATCCGGGATAGTCAACCATCAACTCCATCCTTTTCCAAAATAACTTTAAAGCGCTCTTTGCTTATCATCTGCACATATTAATACTTCATCAGTCAGTCAGTCAGTCAGTTTAATCAGTCAGTCAGTTTAGTCAGTCAGTCAGTTCAGTAAGTCAGTTTAGTCAGTCAGTCAGTTTAGTTTGTCAGTCAGTTTAGTCAGTCAGTCAGTTTAGTCAGTCAGTCAGTTCAGTAAGTCAGTTTAGTCAGTCAGTTTAGTCAGTCAGTCAGTTTAGTTTGTCAGTCAGTTCAGTAAGTCACTTGAGTCAGTCAGTTTATCAGTCAGTCAGTCAGTTTAGTCTGTCAGTCAGTCAGTCAGTCAGTTTAGTCAGTGAGTTTAGTCTGTCAGTTAGTCAGTTTAGTCAGTCAGTCAGTTTAGTCAGTCAGTCAGTTTAGTCAGTCAGTCAGTTTAGTCAGTCAGTCAGTTTAGTCAGTCAGTCAGTTTAGTCAGTCAGTCAGTTTAGTCAGTCAGTCAGTTTAGTCAGTCAGTCAGTTTAGTCAGTCAGTCAGTTTAGTCAGTCAGTCAGTCAGTCAGTCAGGCAGTTTAATTAGTCAGTCAGTTCGTCGGTCATTCTTTTGTTCATTTTTTCGTCC